GCCAGTTCGCGTTAGCCTCACCTTCCGCCATCGACGCGAGCCTCGTTGTGTCACGCTGACCTTGCCTACCGCCGTTGACGCTAGCTCTACCGTGTTGCCTTCCCGCAAATCCGTGAATAAGACATTCGGGTCTACAAAATAGTGTCGGATCACGTCAAACTGGAAACCCGACGAGTCAGGACCGAGTTTATATTTTCGACCCATTCGCAAAACCGGATCGGATTCGGGTCAACCAGTTTGAACCCCGGTCAATTTTGAGTTCGACCCGAAATACGATTTTGACATCCCTAATATTATATAACTGAGTCATTATATGTGTCTTTATTTGGACTAATGAGTCAGAATCTTTATATACCTTGAAGTCAAACCAACATGAATTTGAATTTTTAAGTCCAGTTCATACCAAATTATTAGATCAGATTATTTATTAGCACTCTTAGATCATTAATATAAACCCACTAAGTATTTAATATGTTTTGTAAGTTACATTATTAGCTATATAATGGCCGGTCCAAAGTTCAAAACCATCGATTAGAATCTTCACTGCCAAAAACAAAACAACAGAGAGTACACAAAAAGAAATATTTAGAACAAGTGGATGTTGCAATCACACACTTTCTTCCATTTCTCTCCACCCAATTAAAGAATAACTACTGCTTGCCATTCATCATAAGAGGATAAATATTTATAATTAGATGATTAATTAAGATGGTTTAAAATAAGGCCACCATGCACATCATAAGTGTTTTATTTTAATTAATTTCCAAAAATAATTGTAGGCATACTGTATGTTTAATTTGGGTCAATGTTATATGGGTGAAGCTTGTGTTTGTCTTTTGAATATGGTCAGATGTCACAAGCAAGGATAGGACTTTGGGTCAATGCACAAACGTCCATGTTCTGAAAGTCATTTAAAGATTATATAATACATATGCAGTTGACTGTAGGTAGGGGTGTCGAGAAATGACCTACTCCGTTAATTATGATTGGATCGATCCAATCCGAAAAAAATAAGGTTTGGCTTGACTCATTTGATTATCGAGTTTGATTCGGGTTGAATTTTTCTGACCCGTTTTGGGTTGAATTTTGTTGACTCGTTTATTAAACGGGTCAGTTTTAGATTGACCCGCGAACTCATTTTTTATAAAAAAAATAACCCGTTTAATATTTTTTTTTCTTAAATTTTCTTACTTGTGGATATAATCTTCTTAATTTTATTAATTATCATAAACGTTATATTTAATAAGTTATTAAAAAAATTAAAGTTATATAAAAATTTTGATTAAAATGGGCTAATGATTCGTGTTTGGGTCATTCGGGTTGCTAACGAATTAGTATTTTTAACATTTTTGTTAAACTGAATGGGTTCAGAATGATTGGATTCGAGTTAGATCAATTTCATGTTGGAATGTTTTGACACCCCGTAACTGTAAGCTACTGTGTAGTTGAGGCCAACACTACTCCTTTTGTGCACTAATTATTTATGAAATATATTAATAAGTTTTTAGTAAAATTGAAATTGAATACATGTAATTACTGAAATAATAGACTTTCACATTATTTAATTTGATTAAATTATAATCTATATGCGCCGTGCGCGCACAATTATATGAATATTGATTGAGCCGAAAATATGGGTCTCAAATATTTTGAAACTAGATTGAATTGACAATCATTCAAACTAGAGTTCAATCATCTATTTGATTTAGCCAGATATAATTTAAACAACATTTTTTATAATAGGCTAAATCATAAGAGCTATTCTGACCCGATTAGCTTATTTAACTTGTCTATTTTGTAATGTCCATAACTCCTGTGTCATCTCAATTATACTCAAGCAATTATGATTGCATCAAGCTTGAGTGAGCAAGCTTTTCTATTATTGGAAAAATTATTCTGTACAGACACCGGACGGCGTCTGGAGATCAATCATAATGCACCACATCACTTTTTTGCCTGGTACCGATGTGTATCTGATGATGTCGCGCGTTCTGATTGATCTTTGGATAGTCTGGTGTCCGCATATAATAATTTCTCATATTATTGAGTTCAATCATCAAATGATCTCATCAAAATATATTAATATTTTAAAATCACTATAGAAAAGAAGATGAGGGTTTCATTTGGATTGGATGCTTTAAGAAGTGGTAAAAAAGTTGTAAGACCTTCGTTTTTTGGGTGTTGGCTTTTGGCCGCCCTAGTTTGTTACTAGGTTGCTATATACTAGAAAGTTAGGTTTTTCGCACCACTTGTTAGGAGTGGTTTTAGAACCGCTTCTAAAAGTCTCTTTTAGCACCGGATTTAACCGGTGCAAATATTATCAAAATATGTTAAGATTGGAAGAATTTGCATCGGTTTTTATCGGCACTGGTCATTTGTCCCGGTTATAACCGCGGCAAAAAAAAAGCGATTCGCAACTCCTACCCCACCGGTCGTAAAACCGCAGTGAAATGTCGTTGCAGTGCATAGTAAGTACAGCATATTCGTAGCGGTTTTAGAACCGCTGCAATGAAAATTGTGGCTGTTAAAACCGCCGCAAAAGCTCAAAATTTGTGCTGCGATTACCTTATTTTTTGATAGTGTCGGAGCAAAAAATGTTGAAAAATTATATTCTAAAACTTTTGAAATTGCTAGAAATTAACTATAAAAGCTTCATTTAGCTCCAAAAGTACAAGATTGAGTTCAAATATAAAAAAATGATTTTGAGGGCCGAAAAAAAGTCTGAATCGGACGGTTCGAGCCTAAAATCAGGCCTTTGGACACCTTCATGTTCATGTTAGTTGAGACCAATAAATAAAAACTTTTTTATTATATTCATCTTTCTTAAAGTTTGATAAAAAAAATAATCAATCAATTTATAATCATGCTACATAATATAACATTGAATCTTCAACTATTTCCTTATGAATTTTTCACTTATTCGATCTCTTAGAGATAAAAGAAACATGAACATGTAGTGAATATATAAGATCATCATATTGGATTTGAATTTATTTGTAGTTAATTCCGGACCTTCTTGTAAGACTAACTAGGTTATCAACGAATAAAGAAAAGTGAGATGGAAAAGTAAATAAAAAGTTTTGATATCCTACTACTCTCCATGATCATGAATAGTAAAACTAACATACATGCAAAAAATGCTTCTCAATCATATATTTATATGGCCAACAATACTATAGAACAGGATGCCAAAATAAATAAATAATGCATGATTTGGCTTTTACAAATATGTGGATACTACATTGGTAGCTATACATTTTTTTTTCCAATCAACTACTTTTTTTTTATTAAAAACGAACAAAACGGTTACATCAGCAAAAGAACAAACCAAAAAAAGAAAGAAATCAAAAGCGGGGTCAGTAAGAGACGGCCGTGGCTCCCAGCATCTCAGAATTAAGCCTCGCACGGACCATCCAAAAGGAGACTATACCACCCGAAAGACACGAAGAAACTGCACTAATGGTTACCACCAGCGAGACGAATGGGATACGAGCCCCAGCCACATCATTGCCCTATATATGTATTAGTGCTTAGTGGAGACTGCCGGCTCATAGATATTTTTTTGACTTTTTTGTGTAACTCATCAGTCGAGTAGTAGAGAGATGTAGGTCTCTTTAAGGAACTTATAATATTTTTTGATAATTAACGCGTAAGCCCGTCGATAAATTAAAAAGAAAAAAATAAAAAAATCATCTCAAACGAAACCTAAGCCTTTTATCTTATTCGATAATTTTATGTTTTTTATCAGCGAATCATATCACCTTGCCCTTGCAGGCCTATTTAAGTGAACATAGGTAAATTTTAATAATATCTTTTTTATATTACACTATCCCTTTATAATAGTTTTATACTTTATCGTAGCACTTTTAAAATAAATTGACTCCCCAGATTTATGTAGCATAAAATTAGTCTTACCATTTTGTTAACCATGCCATTAGGCATTAGCTTTGGCATATGTGGTAATTAAGCAAGATTAGGATTAATTAACTTTTATTCCACGATGTGCTCAAAATTAAAAATATTATTGGATAAATAATATTCTAAAATATTCTTTAAATGTCAAAAATATATTTATTTTTATCAAAATTAAAATAATTAAATAAATTTCATGCAAAATTTGATTTACAATTACTCAAATTTTAATATTATGACTTATTAGATTTTTTGTGGCACTTAGAGGCTTCGTTTGGTATAATTTTCTCATTATTTTTCTTTTCAAAGGATAACTATAGTTTTTATTTGGTCATTATTTTTCATTATTTTTAGAATATTTTTATATTAAGAATATGTTTTTTACAACAGCTTTTCTCCCTAATAACTTTATAACCACCATTACAAAAATTGTAGCAATCACAAACATATCCTTAGTTTTTCTTTGAAATAGCTTTTGTCATTATTTTTTTATTGTTTTAAAAAAATTATGTAGTAAAAAGATGCTATAGAAAATACTAAAAAAATTATCTTGAGACAGCTTGCTTACTTTTTTTTAGAGTGAAAGCCACATTTTTTATTTAACTATTAGTTTTTATTATTTAAAAAAATATATATACTATAAAATAACTCTATAGGATAATTTTATAAATCATTAAAATAACCGGTCCCGCTTAGGTCAGCATCTCGCTTATTGACGTACGCCATGGCCAACATTACTTAAATATATATTTACAGTACCAACCTGATATTTATGTAAACTAATAGAAAAAAATAATACTTCGGTGCGTATCTCTACCTTTCTCTGATGCTGCAGAACTATTATTAATTACTTATTGAATCACCCTTGCAGCTTTCAGCCTTACGGAACAACTCATTCACGTAGTTTAAAAATAGGAACAGTCCAATAAGGAAGATTAAAAGATCTTCTAAGTTGATTACTTGCTAATGATCAAAGGCAATCCTAATGATTAATTAATAATTATTTCATTATCGGCTAACTACTTTAAAAGCCATGCATTTCTCTTCAAAGCCATTAACGGAGACCACTCTGCAATAAAAAATTAGCTATGTCTCGCTGCAACTGTAAGCTTTTCTCTCTCTCTTTGTACCTTCTTCTTCTCTTCCATGCATTGCTTCTCGCGACAGCTCTCAGAAGCCATGGAGAGGCCACGGAGCAGGACAAGAAGGTAAACTTGCATGAAATTAGTTACTTTTATTGTTAGTTAATTAGCCATTAATGCTAATTAACATCGTTTAATTACGAATAATTTGTCAGGCTTATATCGTGTATATGGGCGAGAGGCTGAAGATGGACGGGTTTTCCATAAAGTTAGTTCATAAAAATCTGCTCAATAAAGTAATTGCAAGGTAATTATTTTTTCTAGCTATATAGTTCAGAACTATTCATATGAAAATTATTTTTTCTAATTATTTCTCGTAATAGAAATGTGGAGATCATCGTTTCCTTTAGCTTGTTAAAATGCATATTTCTCCATAAATATTTGGGTAATTTCAATCCATCCATCTTGATTTTGCTTGCCAATTTTAATTTGACAAAATTAAAAGCGCACATATATTAAAATTCTGTAAAATAATTTGTTCTATGTATCTTATTGGAATAACTTTTTTACTATTTTGTTTTTCAAAATATAATCATAGTTTTTATGTTGTTGTTTTATTGTTTTAAAAAAAAAAATTGTGTTAGTAAATTGCTTTCCTCGCAATAATTTTACAATCACTTAATAAAAAGCTGTAGTCATCTCAAACATACTCAAAATAATTGAAATTGTCAATTTTCTTTGAAGTTACAATATTTTCTTTTAGCTGTTTTCTCTCTATTTTGTTCAAGAATCTTATCTTATATACTTATTTTTTATATTTAATTATTCATATAATAAATTTATCTATCTTAAATAATAATAATAATAATAATTCAATCTGTATTTGACTATAACTTTCTTTGCCGACCGAAGCTACGTAATATAACTATGTAAGGACAAAATGCTCAAATTATTCTGCATCGCTGCATGTTGCAATTATTAGCAGTCATTTTCTTCTAACGGTAAAATAATATTGTGATGTCACATTTTCTACGCATAATCCAATACAAATTAGAACGATTTGATTCTATTAATATTTGGCTTTTCTTTAGGACAATTTTTTTATTATTTCATAAAACATTTTTAATAAAATAATAATAATTTTTTACTGAAAAGTAGCACTAAAATACTCTTAAATTTTATTTGAAACGGCTTTCTTATTATTTTTTAAAGTAATTTAAAAAAAATTTTTGCTAAAAAATATTTTAAGAAGAGATAAGAAAGCTGTTCCTAATAAAATCTTAATTGAAACTAATTTATACATTAGCAATCAACATACGATAATTTCCTATTAATTTCATCAAATTTGAAATTGCTGCAGTGATGATGCATCAGAACGCCTGATACACAGTTACACCAGAAGCTTCAATGCCATGGCAGCTATGCTCTCCGAGGAAGAGGCAAAGAAGCTATCAAGTAAGTCATCTGAGAATAACAAAACTAGCTAGCAAACCCAAATGTCTATATGATTCTTTCTAATTAGGTGTTCATATTGTGTATCTTATCTAGATATGGATGAGGTGGTGTCTGTCTTCCCTAGCCAGCGAAGAGAGCTCCATACTACGAGATCATGGGACTTCATGGCCTTCCCATCGAGCGCATCTCATGGTGCATTTGAGTCTGATGTTATTGTCGGCATGCTCGACACCGGGATCTGGCCGGAATCCGAGAGCTTCAATGACGCCGGCTTTGGCCCGCCCCCGCACAAGTGGAATGGCACTTGCGAGACGGCCAAACACAACTTCACCTGTAACAAGTAGGATGACTTAGGCTTCGTTTGAGACCGCTTTCTTATTATTTCTTAAAGTGACTTTTTAGTATAAAAAAATTTAATTTTTATATTAAAAAATTGCTTTAAGAAACAGTAAGACCCAAAAAGAAATCTTAATCATGCATATAGTGAAGCATTCTTTTCATCACACTTTGTACTACTTTTTTTAAAGAGGAATTATATCCTGGTTGACACAAATTATAATTTATAAACAGCAAAGTCATTGGAGCCCGCTACTACCACCTTCAAGGCAATATAAGCGCAGGCAACATCGCATCCCCGCGCGACACCGCCGGCCACGGTTCCCACACCTCCTCCACTGTCGCCGGAAGGTTAGTTGCCAACGCCAGCCTCTCCGGCCTCGCCCAAGGCACCGCCCGCGGTGCAGTACCTTCAGCTCGGCTTGCCGTCTACAAGGTATGTTGGGATAACGAGGGCTGCTATGACGTCGACCTCCTCGCTGGTTTCGATGATGCTGTTGCCGATGGCGTTGACATCATTTCCATTTCCATCGGCTCAAGCTTCCCTAGTGATTACTTCTCCGACCCGATTGCCATTGGCAGCTTCCATGCGGTGAAGAATGGTGTTCTGGTCTCTGCCTCGGCTGGGAATTCTGGTCCAGGCAGGTACAGCGTGGCAAACTTCGCCCCGTGGATGCTCACCGTGGCCGCTAGCACTATTGACCGCAAGTTTATTTCTCAAGTCAAGCTCGGCAATGGTGATGTTTATCAGGTTTGATTCCACAATACATTTTCTTCATCACTTTCAACAAAAGACATTATTACAGGCGGTCCAATAGCGGCCGGAATTGGCGGTTAAACCGGAGGTCTATACCGGTGGCCTTAACCAGCGGTCCAATAACAGCCTGAATTTACCGTTACCGGCCATTAATGCCGCCTGAAAGCCGCCGGTATGGTTAACCGTAAGAAATTGACCGCCGCAAATCATTTCCTATGCGGTTTATACCGGCGGTTTGCTAACCGCCAGTATTTTAGGAAACTGCTAGAAACATAATACGAACCGCTGGCCATCATCTAATATATTTCTTATCAAATTGGCGTCAGGGAATGGCAGTGAACACCGAGGGAGCCAAGGACAATTTGTACCCTTTGATATACGCTGCAAATGCGCCTAACAAAACTGGAGGCTTTGATGGATCAATCTCCAGGTACTGCGTTGAAGGAAGTTTGGATCGCAAATTGTCCAGGGGAAACGTACTTATATGTGATGGCTTGAATGATGGCTCGGGACCGCAACTTGCAGGTGCTGTTGGGGCAATTATGCCAGCACAAGGTGCGAATGATGTCGCCTTTGAGTTCAAGCTTCCTGTTTCTGTGTTGGGAGTTAATGATACTGCCAAAGTTCTCCTATACTCCAATAAAACACGGTTTGTCCCATTAATCTCTTTATCTAACAAGAATAATTTGCTAAAAATTAACATATTAAGATCATAAAACTGACTTGGAAGTGATCTTGACAAGTTTTTTTTTTTCTTTCCAAACTGTTTGATAGAAATCCTACGGCATATGTTGCGAAGAGCGAGGGAGTGTTGGATGGGCTTGCGCCTTATGTGGTTTCATTCTCATCTCGTGGGCCACATCCTATCACATCTAATTTACTCAAGGTAGGAGTGTTATATATCTAATCATTGAGTGTTCATTAAGCCTTCATTTGGGACGACTTGGCTGTCTTACTGCTTCTGCCTTCTTGAAGTAGCTTTTTAGTTCAAAGGTTATATTTTTTGTAATAAAAAATTGCTTTAAGAAACATGAAGAAAACTGTCACAAACGAAGTCTAAGATTCCTTATGTTAAGAAATTGATTGTTAATTTGATGTGCGGTACTGGATACGAATATGCAGCCTGATTTGGCGGCACCGGGAGTCGATATCCTTGCAGCATGGTCTCCACTTAGTACTCAAAAATCTTCATTGTACAATATTATATCGGGTACATCAATGTCTTGCCCTCATGTTAGTGGCTCGGCTGCCTATGTCAAGTCATTCAACCCAACTTGGTCTCCAGCTGCAATCAAATCTGCCCTTATCACCACCGGTACTTCTTCACACCATCTCTCTCTCTCTCTCTATTACAAATTTAAATATAACATATTAAGCATCCTTATTTCATTTCTTGCAGCATACAATATGAGCCCGAAAAGGAACATTGAAGCAGAATTGGCATATGGAGCAGGACAAGTAAACCCCCTCGGTGCACTAAAGCCTGGCCTTGTTTATGATGCAGATGAGATTGACTACGTAAGATTTCTATGCGGTCAAGGCTACACCACCAAAAATCTTAGACTTGTAACAGGAGACTCAAGCAGTTGTACTGCTAAAACAAATGGGAGCATCTTTGATCTCAATTATCCCACTTTTGGTTTATCAATCACCCCAGGAAAGCCCTTTTCAGCAACGTATAATAGAACTGTCACTAATGTTGGTGATTCAAATTCTAGCTATAAGGTCAGTGTGTCCGCTCCTGATGGACTTAAGATTAACGTTGATCCACAAGTCTTGACATTTCAGAGCATTCTTGAGAAGAAATCCTTTGTGGTGACATTGGAAGGAAAAACTAAGAAGACTCTTCTCTCGGCTAGTTTAGTGTGGAGTGATGGTGTGCATAAGGCAAGAAGCCCTATTATCGTGTATGGTGCTTGAATATTAGATTGTTTTAGTCATGGACTTATCAATGGAGCTTTATATGATTTATGTTTAAAAAGTTTTTACTCTTAATTTTATCTCTTGATAGGCCATATGAACCTTATTATTATCATTGAAATGAGAACTTATCTTGACACTTGTTACATTGAGGTAAATCAAGATTGATAAGTGATGATCAATTTTAAATATCTTAGCTTTTATATCTTTGAAATATCATTAGAAAATTCATCCATTTTGGCATGAATCTAGATATAATATTTGAATAATAAACTTTCAAAATTAAATTCAAGGTCATCCAAACATTATTTTTAATAAATTTATAGTCAAGGCAAATATTTTGATTGAACTAACTTAACGATATCATAAGTGCTTTTATTTGAGTCCACATGATAAAAAAAACAAGCACTTAAAAGTATAGTTAGAAATTTCATGACACTATTTAAGGAACAAATGAACTTCAAATCTTTTAGGTTTACAATCAAAATGAGTTTCTCAATGAGGGAATTCCAATTTGCTCAAGTTTGCTCAATTATGATATCTTTAAGATACTTAAATAGTTAGGAAATAATCTATAATCAAGAGAATCAATGTGGACTATACAATATAGTGTTTATGGTTAATTTTTTATAAAAATAAATAAAATATCACTCCAAAAAATTAAAAATACTCTTTTCTACACATAAGGGAGATGACATTTAAGCTCATAGAATTTAAGAATATCATAGCTACGTCTATCGATCAACGATAAAGATTACCAATAGTGACCTCCATTTCTTGGTTGTCATCTTTCAACTATAATCTCAGAATCACCATCATCATTTGCAAAATTATATTGAGACATGACATCACCAATTAAGGTCAATGCATGCCATTAATAAAAATATTGACACACATGATCATCAAATTTGATGCACACCATTGACACAATATTAATGTATGTCATCACAAACAAGATTGATGCATACCTTTGATACGAACGTCAATGCACATCATCACCAAGAAGATCGAGGTATGATGTTGATACCAATATCAATGCACGTCATCATTATTAAGGTTGATGAACATCATCAATGCTAAAAGTAATACAAATCATTAACAATAAGATTGATGCATATCATTGACACTAATGTTGAGACTCATCTTCGCTAAGCGAGCCAATGCATATCATCAACATTAATATTGACATATACCATTGCTAATAATGTTGATGCATGATATCATCACTAATATAAATTCACATAATTATCAATAATTTTTTTCCCACCATCACCATCAATTTCAACACTCAACAATAACACCAACATAAACATTAATTAGATGTTGACACCAAGACTTACGTTTGTTTTCTTCTTCTCTAATCTCCCTATATAAGAAGAATGGTTGTGTGTGCAATCAATAATTTCTTAAAGACAACTCTAATGCATCAAGGCTCCTTTTAACATACAACATCCATACTTTATAGTTCATGTTTACAACATTATATTTATACTTTTCATAATGATAAGAAATAATATCATTTGTAACATATGATTGTGGACCTCCGAAAGAGCACCGCGCGAACGGGTCGATTGGAAGGGACAGATTGGATCATGCATACGACTAACCATAGGGTAGAGAATAAAAATACGAACAAAACGAGGTATTGTGCGTCAAAATCGGACGAAAAATGGATTTTTGGTGATTTTTTAAAGTTTTCTGCATTTAAAAAACTATTTAAAATAATTTTATATTAAATAAATCGGCGGCGGGACCCGCTCTGGACACGTGGCACGACGGGATAGGGCGCGCGGTTTTAGCCAATGATTGGCGCCGCCGCCAATCATTAGGCAATGATTGCGGCGGCGGTCCCGTGGCCACTTAGCCACGCCGGATGTTGCCCCCACCGTCCGATCAGCGTTGTTCGAGCGGACGGACGAGATGGCGCCACGTAGCTGGCCAAACCGCGGGAGGAGATCCGCGGTCAATCCAAACCGCGAGAGGCGCGGATCGTGACCGTCGATCGGAAGATCAATGGTCCTGATCGCTCCACTCTGCATGCGAACGCGTCCGAGACCCTAAGGGGATTTTTGCTTCGTTCTCCCAAACGGCTGGACCAAACTCAACGAAATTTTAAATATAGCATTCAGATATGAAGAGCATTCATGGGGAGGTTTTATTTTAATCTAAGATGCATCCTACATAAATCTATTTAGATCTAAGTGGTCTAGCTAGGGTTTGAGATATACATCAATCCACATGGTGGATTCGGGAGATCTTGGTCTTGTTGGACTCGTGGACTCCCCAAGAACAAGTTCCTAGTTGACCTCGAGCCTTGATTCGCCTTGGATCGATCACGAAAAGCCTTGGAACGAAAATAGCCTTGGTTTGCCGGATTTCTCGCCGCCGGCAAGCCTGGCTCGTCGGGATTCGACATGGGAAAGGTGAAGGAGTATGAGGAGAACTCTCACGCCAAGTTTTTCAGAATGAGAAGGGCTAGGGCCAGAGCAATCAAAAAAAGATCCTCCAAATTATCTAAATTTCACTATTTAAACCTCTTCCTCTCTCCTGGACGGTGGAGATGGGATCTAGGATAAATTTCAGAGAGAGAGGGAGTGATTTAGGCGGGATTTGAATTTTCAAAACATTTTGAGAGAAGGGCTAGGGCAAGAGCAATAAAAAAAAAGATCCCAAATAATCCCTAAATTTTCCTATTTAAAGCTCTAATCAATGCGTGGACGGTTGGGATTAAATCAATAGGTAATTAGGAGGGAAATCTGGCTCCAAAGCACGAAAATTTCAATTTCAAACAAAGGGGGAATCAATTAGAGCAATAAATAGGGCTTAAATGACTCTTAATGGGTTGATTTGACCCATCTATGACTAGGATTGACCAAGCCCACGTTTGACTTGGTCAAACCAGTCAATGAGACCCATGGGAAGAGTGAATTGAGCCATGGAAAGGTTTGGATGAGTTTGATTTTGATTTGAGGCTCAAAGGGGCTAAGTGGTCAAACCATGTTGACTTGGTCAACTGGGTTGACCCAGGACCTTAGTCTGGTCCCAATGGACTTGGTTTGACCCACTGAACCCATTGGAGAGAGTCTTGGGGTCTGACTTGGTCAATTTGACTAAGTCAACCTTTTGACCAAGGATCTGGGCAAAATCGAGGTCAACAATGATACACCCTAATAGAATTATGTCAATTGGGTTAAGCCCCATCCTATGTTTTCACACACAATAAATATTATGTTTCCTATGAGATACTCTTCACTTATTTATGTAAATGAGCGTAATTTTTATACAATATATATTAAGATGATAATTTTTTTTACTACTATAAAAATTATAGCACATAATAGCTTAGTATCATCTATGAAAAATGACTTTAAGCTAGGAAGCAACCCTGTAATGTAGTTTTTTATCCTTTTATCTATCATCTATATCTATAACTCACATCTTTCAATTATTTACTTTAATAGGTGGCTTTCAATAAATCAATAAAGAGTCATCACTCTATGTTCGACGATCTACTCAACTAATCAATTATAGTCTAATATCCGGGATTACACCACAAAAATTTACTTTTAAGAAAAACCCATCTACCCATCGTCCTATATAGAATATTATTATTTTAATAGCCTACTCATATTAATTATAGTGTTCATAGCCAGTCTTTATTACTTTCATTCAAATCTCATATTTATCATATATAATTCATAGCATTTTCTCTAGTAATGTAATAATCTAAGAAATATAAGAAAATTTATACATTATCCATTAACTTTAAAAATTACAATATCAATTTTCCACGTAAAATTTAATAATATTAATGTTAAAATACCAAGAAAACTCATATATATCACATGTAAAAAATTAAATTATGAAAGTTCCATAAATCAAAAGAAAAATATATTTTTATTAATTTTATGAGGAATAAAATATGATAAATCAAAATCATATAAAAAGGAATAGGATTTAGATTACCTAGATCAAAATAGTTTTTTAAAATAGAGCAATAGATAAAAAATGACATGGAGCAAGATTTCTCTCTATCCTCTCTCTCTCTTTCTCCTCCGCTCTCTCCCTTTCCTCTCATTTCTTCCATGGCTAGCTGAATGAAATGAGAGGAGTATGGGGCTGGTAATGAGGTGGCGAGGTATATTTATATTAAATATTTTAAAAATATCATTCAATGCCTAGCCGCATGCTGAATCCTAAGTTTTTATAAAGCAAAGGCTTTGTTGTTGCGGTGGCTCTTCCTAGCATTGCAACGTACCCACACCATTAATTGCGCTGCAACCCAAATTTTTAATATTTTTAAAATAATTTTATTTTAGAAAATTTTAAGTTATTATAGTTGAAGCATCAAAATCGTGTGAGTGAGGGTGTCTTCAATATCATAGTCCAGTGATAGTGGTTAGAGGACTATACTGAATTAATGTTGGTATGATGATTATAATCTAGTGATCGAGTTTGGAGGAATATAGTCGGGCGATGGAGGTTGTAGGAATGTAGTCAAAAGATAGTGGCTAACGATGTTGGCCAAAGGATTATAGTCGTGTGATGAAGATCAAAAGACCTAAGTCGAGCAAAGAAGGTAAGTGGATCATGGACTCATGCAACATCTATCGAAGGACAATAATCGGGCAACATCAGTTGAAAGATAATAGCCATGCGAGAGCGATCGGAGAATTATAGTTGGACAACGATGGTAGAAGGATCTTTAGTAGGAAATGATGGTTGAAAGACTGTTGTCAAATGATCGCAATCATGAGACAGTGGTCGAAGGTTGAATGGTGGTCTAATAATGGTATTCGATAAATATTCTGATTAGGGGTGTCAATATTTGACACGACACGAAAACCCGGCCCGGACCCGACCCGAAAAATCCGGGTTGAACCCGACCCGTTTGAAAAACGGGTCGGGTTCGGGTTCACAGACAGGTCGCTTCGTGCTCGTGACTCGCGAGCCCGCTGTCGTCGTCGCGCCGCTGACAGCCTGCCACGATGCCGCTGCTGCCTCGGGTCACGGGTCGAGTCGTGTCAACCCGGCAACCCGCCGGGTCGGGTTCGGGTTAGCATTTCCGACCCGTTTACCTATCCGGGTCGGGTTAGGGTCGACCCGTTTGAACTCGGGTCAGTTCCGGGTCCGACCCGAACCCGACCCTTGACCCGAAATTGACACCCCTAATTCTGATGGCAGCAGTCGGTCATAGTATGATGACTACGGTCATAGGTTGTTTTGATAATAGTGGCTGGTTGATGGTTCCATGAAGATGGTTAGATGGTTGTCCATTGATGGTGATCAGGTGGTGTGTTCAAATAATAGTGGTCAACTATGAAAATCAAACAATGGTTTGATGCAGCTTATATGGATATCTAAGATTCTTGATGTAACGTCTGCCATCTAAAATTCAAAAATTTTATATTAATGATTGTTAATATTAAGTTAATTAGTGATTAAGAGTCTAGGAATTCTTATTAGGACCGTAAGTAACCAATGTTTGGAGTCTAAGAAGAGAAAATCCAAAGTTGGAAATTTCTCTGCGGGCACCAAGGTAAATATCGCCCTAACTTTGAGCTCTCAAGTTTTTTGATAGAAAAATAGGTTTAGGTGTATGCCGCAGCACTGGGGAAACGTCGCCGCGACCCCTGGGAAATGCCATCGTGACGTTAGGGAAGCGCTGCTGCGATGATAGGTCTCAGGTGAGGATATTCTGCGAGAATCTAGAAGATTCCTTGGGGGTGCTGGGGAAGTGAGTGTCGTGATGCTAGGTTAAATTAGTGCATTTTAAATATAAAAATATCTCAAAGCATTTTGACAAACCATTTTCTACCCAACATTACTAGAGAAGAAGAGAGAAGAATGACGAGAATATGAAAGAGAATGGTAGAGAGAGGGATTCGGAGGCCAAATCTTGAGATTCGTCTATCGGGCCAGTTCAGGATATTCTAGAGCTCAAGATAGACTTCTAAACCCTGTCTCTGATTTTAATTCCAACGAGTTTATAAAAAGATATAAATAAAAATATACTTTTCTTAGGTTTTATGAGGTTCTAGTGTGCGATTTTGAATATGCTATTGCACTCCTTATTATAGCTGGACATTTTGACTATACAAAAATATGTTTTTAACTATTGGTTTTTTTTAACAATTTTTTGAACATATAGTTGAATTGACGCATATCTTACAAATACAATAGTTACATAAAAATATTGAAATTTTCATATGAATATTCCTCTAAAATTTGAAATTTAAAAGAAAACGTTCACTGAGTATTCTATTTTACAAGTAATATAGCTTTCACTAGTAATTATTAATTAATGTATTTTTTGAATAATGCATTGAAGTTCTAAATGAATCACTATTATATTGCATTTATATTCTTCATAACATGGTATTTGAGATATCCTAAAATGTGAAAAATGCCCTCTCTATTATGTTATAAGGGTCATAAATGTCACAACCCGACACGATATGACTCGATATCACACATGTTATATTGTGCCCGATCATGATGAGAATCTTAAACTGACCCTAAGATCCAACATGATAAATGTCGAGAAAATAAACTTTCAATTTATATAACACAGAGTTATTACTGAATACAATATAAAACGAAAGACTACTACATCTCAAAAATAATTATTGCATATATTATCCAAAATATATGTGTACAATCAGACGTATTTCTACAACAACGTTTAATTATAGTAAGTACAATAAAATAGAATCAAGACTACAAAAAATGAAACCAATTAAAAAGCATACTGAAGACACAGTTCAGAACCCGTTATTAAACCACTCAGCTCATTCCTTACCCTTTTTGTGACCTTAAAATAGTACCAAAAACAAGAATGAGCCACATTGGCCATAATTAGGGAGATCAAAGGAATCTTAAAGAGTAGGAGTCAAGTTATGTAGTGCAATGCAACATGTCAAACCTACATTGCCATTAAACAAGCATTCATGATAGTTGAACTAGGATATTAATGTGGAAACTAGAGGGAGGCAGTCCAACCGGTCAAGTGGTGTTATTCAATGCATGTTTGATTGTCGAGTGCGTCTAATAAGCATTTGTTGCTAGATGAAAAGGGGTAGCACCATCTACGTGTAGATTTCAAGTTGTGAAGAGTTGTTGATTGACAAGTGTCAAACACTGACTTAAGAAATACAAGAAACATGTTATATTTGTAGTTAGCAAGTGTTTTGATTATTGAGAGGAGATTAGTCATGAGATGCTTAAAATGAAAATGGGTGACATCACCACAATCATCGGATATCAACACAAGCAGCGTGTCATAATGGTCTTAGGACATGAAACCCTAGCAACAAGTTGCGATGAAGATGCTCCCTACCAAGAGGAGAAATGTGGTTTATATAAATAAAGAAGTTTGATTAGTAGATTGTATGAGTGCCGCTATATAGTATTGTTGCGGGCTTGAATATACGCGGCGATAGAGTTTTAACTATACGTCTTAACTTTGCATGGATATTCAGCACACACACAGAGAACACAATATTTTTTACGTGGAAAACCCTTGAAAAGGGGAAAAACCACGGGGCCTAGCCCAGTTGAAAATATTTTCACTAGACTTTGAGTAGGTTACAAAGAAGCTGAATCCCCTCTAAGGGCGATCAGATTTACAATCATTAATTGTTCAATAGGAGTCAGGTGTTAGACCCGGTGTCACTTGGAAGTTCGGGTGTTGATAGTATGATCTTGAGTAGAATGTAGGGCCTTCAATAGAACGTCGGGTCTGAACGTTGGGCCTTGAGATGGTGGTGCAACGAAGCTCCGGCGGTGATCCGGCGAGGCTTCGGCGGTGGTCCTGTGAGGTTCCTGCGGTGGTCCGGCGAGATTCCTGCAGTGGTCCGGCGAGGTTCCTGCGGTGGTCAGGCGATGTTCCGGCGGCGGTCGAGGAGGAGCTTCTTCCTTCTCTTCCTCTTTCTCTTCTCTTGCTTGGATCCCTTCTTGTGAAGAATGATGGCTCTATTTATAGATTTTTTGGAGTGGCATAGCTCATAAATAGGCGTGAGATCAGGGGCGAATAGGGAGTGGTTGAATAGACGGTCAATATCAAATCCTACGATCATGCACCGTTCGTTGGACATTTGAAGGTCTTAGAGATGTCGGAATTCGGCGATCTTGGGCTCGTTGGATTCGTCTCGTCAAGCAGTTCGATTCGTCTCGTCGAGCCGTTCGATTCGACTATAAACGGTCAAAATCGGAGACCGTTTGGTATCTCAAATTGCGGTTTGAACCTTCCAACAGCGCTTCGGGTCCATGATTCAGACCCATTTGGGCTCGGATTGGGTTGAACTTGGTGTAGTTGGGTTCGTATTTCCGAGAGGCTTAGTTTGACTATAAGCTCGCTGAAATCGGAGTTCGGGTGCTTCCGGATTTAATTTTTGAAGTTTCCAACTAGCTTTTATCTCGAGATTCGTGCTTGATCAATATAATTTTTTGATGATGTATCAAGTATTTATATGTTCATGAAGAAAATAATGCATATTGCAAGAAATAATTGGAATTAGATGATATTTATTTTAAAAATATTTTTATTTATATATTTAAAATTTATTATGTATTTATGATATTGCTATAAAATTACTGCCATATATATAAATAATTCCAGGTGGCAAATCGTGATACTCGCTCCGCAGCTGTTACGCTCTCCTCCCCCAGCTTCATTTTTCTTCTTTATAAGCAAATAGTAGCATCCGTAATCCGTCCGCCCCAACACCTTGTCTTCTGCTCATACAGATCGGCCGCCACTTCTTTCTGTACAAGAGATAGAAAATGGACGAGGGAGACCAAGTCCGCCACACCGGCGGAGCTTCAGCTTCGAACCAGCGCAGAGTGGGCGGGACAAGCATACACATCACGGCCCTTGACGGCATCACCAACGTCAACTCACTTTTCACCCTAGCCGTCTTTCTCGGCCTGGCCTGGAACCCCTACGATCCAACGGACGGTGGTGTCTCCGTCGGCGACTGCGCCGCCGGGCCGCACATCCTCGAAAACCTAGTTTCCTTTCATGTATTCTCTTTCGCTTCATTTCTGTTTTCCAGCCTCGTCGCTCTCTGCCTTAAGCAAGCCATCCGCCTCGTCCCCCCGCCCTCCCGCCCCTTGACCGACCGTGTCAACCGAGCGCTCCTCCGTGCCGGGATTATAGCTTCCGCCATCGGCTCCGTCATGGGCTGCGGGTTTCTCATGATGGCTCTTGTCAATGTCGTTCAGATCAAGCTCGGTAGGCTCGGCTGCGCCAGTGCGGCCACCATTGGTGCCATTATCCCACTCGTTACGCTCATCCCTATTGCTATGCTCATCTACATTGGGGTTATCTTCTATGCATTCACAAGCTAGTCATTGTATTACTCATCAAGGATGGTAACTCCCATGTTGACTGTTTATTTGGCTATCCTCTTAATCTGTAGTTTTATTACAATGATTATGTTAAGTTACAATGTATGTTACTCTCATCTCTAAAATTTATCAGGGCACATGAAATATGTTTCTTTATGTTACTTACTTTATTTTACCACGCGCATATGAAACTCATTAGATAGAAGTCTACACAGATTCTCTCATAAATATCCTTCAATAGATCCTTATTTCTCTAATTGTTCTTGGTAGCTCTATTTGACTCGTCTTCCTATTCAAACAGAGTCTGATCATGTTCCTTGTAGACCAATTATCGATATATCATTTAGGCCTAACATTACATCTCAGCCCTTCTCTCTCCTCTCTCTCTCTCCTCTCACTCTCTCTCTCTCTTTATCCCCCCCCCCACCCCACTCTTTCACCCTTTGGGCTTGATTAGTTTTTCTAGTGAAGTCTTGATATCATTGCATAAACAACTTCATATTCGATATCTTCTTTGGTCTTATGAGCATGAAGAATGTTGAAGACTGGAAACTAGAATAAGGATTATCTTGAAGAACATGATAAGTCCTTACACAGCAAGCGTCCTAATGACTATGCCACTTAAAACCCACTTGGAGGATCATTTAATAAGGATGATATGGGTAATCTTCAAGTGCTTTCTACAAGTTGCTCCACTTTCTCATCCCCCTCAAGAGTGAGAATCAATTATCTCTCTTAAGCTCTAACACAACACGACTCTAAGAGCTATTGCTTTAGCTCGATCTAAAGATGGCAAGCTTTATCTTCTTGTGGAGAATATTATGAATATTCTTCTTTTGTTTCGTCCATCAATGCTTTAAACTTAGCTTACGAATGCTTTATGTTTTGAACTCACGAAGGCGTAACTGCTACATAAATTCAAGATGTTGGTGCTTGCCTCATATAGTGGGAATTTAGACCCAACGACCACATTGCTCGCTTTTATAGGTGATACAATCAAATTTCATATGCTCTTCACAACTTTCAAGGAGATTGTTGCATTGGTTCTCCATCTTCTTTTATAAATTACCTCCTTTTATTTCAAGTGACAATTTATTTCTTAGTTTGCTGATGCCCAATTGACAAGCTCATTTGAACAAACACTAGGAGCTAGGAGATTCATTTCATCACTTTATTACCTGACTTCAATTTGAGATGTTTAATATGCAAGACCTAAAACCCATTGTCGCGCAAGCATCTCTTATTCAGAGCTTTTGAGAAGATCCTTTCTGTAACATGCTTGGCTTGTATCTTTCGAATATTTTGGCTGAATTTGTTGAAGTGTGCCAAGAATTAACTCAATTTAAAAGAGTATAATCACATGCGACGTTGACTTATGCCTTACTCCTAACTTGCAAGGAGATTTGTGTCTACATCCCAAGGATCATCAAAATAAGTTTCACCCTAGCATCAAGATAAGTCGGTTGAGAAGTCGCATCCCAACATTAGGGTTTCAAATGAATCGAACATTTGACGAAGTACTCATGGTTCAACTCGATTAAAGCTCGTTCGTGATCGTTCAATCAAGTAAGCAAACAAGCTTAAGAATTTTTTTTAAATAATCGATGCTTAAATAAACATTGCCATTATCAGGTTCCAAGTTTTGGATGAGAAAAGTGGATGGTTGAGTTAGGTAGTTGACAACCAACGTAAAACTTGTCGAATAATCATGACATGAATCTTTTAATACATTGTGTTAATTCTAGGGTGTTCCTGGAAGCGACATGCTGTATGTCCTTAATACAGTGAGAAGTGTGCAAAGATTGTTGCATCAATGCCCATATGCAGTTAAATAGACAATGATTCCCACATCATGGACGGATCTATGCAAAGAAGTTAGTCCATGAAATTAAAATTAGGTTAGGACCTTGAAATGTAGATTCCCTTATAAGCAAATTAATGGAATTAATTGATATTATGATTCATAGGAAGATAAATATTTTATGCATTCTGGAAACTAAATGAGTGGGAGAGAATGCTAAGAAGATTGATAGTTTAAGGTTTAAATTTTGATATTCTGATAGGTGTAGTATTAGAAATGGTATATGTATGATTACATATAAGAATTTGAAAGATAATATTGTAAAAATTGATAGAATTGGACATAAAATTATAGCTTTGAAGATTATTATTGATGATAAGATTATTAATATTATAAGTGTTTATGCTCATCAAGTAAGTTTGGATATGTATTTAAAATTAAAATTTTGGAATAATTTAGAAGAATTAATACAAATGATATCTCTTGAACAAAGAGTTTTTTTAGGGGTAGATTTAAATGGACATATTGGTAGAGAGGTAAAGGATTTTGAAAGCATTCATGGGGATTATGAGTTTGGAACGACTAATGAAGGTGGTAAGACTATATTAGATTTTGCTCTAGTTTATGATTTTGTAATACCTTATTTAAAAAAAGATATAAGCATCTCATCACTTATAAGAATGGATATGATAAGACTCATATTGATTATTTTTCTTGTAAGAAAAATAGATCGTTTAGATTGTAAAGATTGTAAAGTTATTTCAATTGATAGTCTATGTATCCAACATCGCTTATTATTTTTTAAATGTTAAGATGAAGGGGTAGAGTATGAAAATATAGTATATCGTTGTTCTAGGATTAGATGCTGGCTTTTAAAGAACTCTAATAAAAATATTTTTTAGAGTAAGATTTTCAATCTTAAGATGTTGTCGGTGCATGAGGAAGCTAATATTAAGTGGGAAATAATAGCTTGCAATATTAAGAATGTTGCAAAGGATGTATTTGGAGTAGTAAAATGAAAAGCTTTTTATAGTAAAAATAGTTGGTCGTGGAATTAAAATATGCAAGAAAAGATAAAAAATTAAGAAGCTCTGTTATAAAAATTGTTTTAGATGTAAAACTTTAAAATTTAAAAAATATATAAAGTTGTCCGTAAGGAGACTAAGAAAGTAATCTGTGATGCAAAGACTTTAGCTTTTTAATGATTTATATAATATATTAAATATGAAAGAGGGCGAAAGATATATGTATAAGCTAGCCAAATAAAGTGATAAGAGTAATAAGGATTTAGTTAGTTCAAGTGAAATGCTTTAAGGATGAAGATAAAAAAGTACTTTTTTAGAAGAGGATATTTAACAAAGGTGGATAAGATATTTTGCTAATCTTTTTAATGAAGATTGTCAACATACGATTGATTATAGTTACCTTAGCGCTCTAAATGAAAATAGAGATTTTTATTTTTATCGACGTGTTTTGCTAAAACTAGAGTTAGATAGGATTTAAAGAAAATGAAGTGTGGAAAAATTGTTGGACATAATGATATTCCAATAGAGGTGTGGAAATGCTTAGGAAATGAAGGAATTTCTTGGCTCACTAAACTTTTAAATATTATTTTGAAGACTAAAAAGATGCCAGATGTGTGGAGGATGAGTATGTTGATTCCTATCTTTAAGAATAAAGGTGATGGACAAGATTGTGCGAATTATAGAGGAATTAAGTTGATGTGTCATACTTTAAAACTATGGGAAAGAGTTATGGAGCATAGGTTACGACGTGATACTAATGTTTCTCAAAATCAAATTGGATTCATGCCGGGTAGGTCTATTTTGGAAGCCTTACATTTATTGAGAGGTTTGATGGAGAAGTATATAGAGAATAAGGAGAATCTTCATATGATTTTTATTGATTTAGAGAAAGCATATGATAAAGGTTTAAGAGAAGTGTTATAGAGTGTTCTAAAAAAGAAAGGGGTTAATAATGCTTATATTCAAGTCATTAGGGATATGTATGTTGGAGCTATTACTTGTGTTCAAACACAAGGTGGTTTGACCAAGTATTTTCCAATTTTAGTTGGATTACATCAAGGATCAGCCTTAAGCCCATATCTTTAGTCATGGATGCTCTTATTAGAGATTTGTATGAGGATGCTCCTTGGTGTATGCTTCTTGCTGACGATATTCTTCTTGTTGATAAGACTAGAGAGGGCTTTTCGTTATTAACTCGTGGACTCTTGTTACCATCGTAGCTTTACATTTATTCTTTGCATTTTCTTGAATTGATTGGTTAATCGAATCTCTCTCTTCGTTTCCTAAGCGAGTTAAAACTAAGAATTCTTAGGATCACTCTTTTATTACAAATGATAATTTTAATTTGGATTACTTTGTTCAAATTGTTCTCTATAATTTCCTAAAGTAACTCCATCGCATGTACGTTTCACATCAGGGGGTTTCGAAAATAATCGCTAGATATGCTCATGAACAAAATCGATGTAACTATTTGTTCGAAGGCTCAATAAGGCTCATTTGTTAATCTAATGAACATTTTGAAGCAGAGCTCGTTTATAGCTCGATAAGACTCATTTGTTGAAAGTTCGATAAGCACAAGATCAATCGAATATGAACTAAACACAAAGCAAACATGAGCATCAATTAATTTAAATGAATCGAGTTTGAACATTAACTGAAAAGCTCAAATCGAGCTCAAACCGAGCTTGAACAAGTAGATAATAAACGAACTTAAACATGAACAAACACCTGCTCAGCTTGGCTCGGTTTGTTTATAGTCCTAAATAGCAGCACTATAAATGGTTTAAACCTAAGAAGTAGAATGAGGAATGTTAACTTAAAAACCCTTATAAAGAGAGAGGTTGCCTTAGTGTTCAAGACAACTATCCTACACTCCTTAGTGTTCAAGTCACCTATCCTACACTCCTCTCTCGATTACCATTGGGTGAGGTTTTAGATTCCATTTGTGATAAAGAGTATATCCATCACCTATTGCTAATTCACACATTGTCATTAGTTCGTAACTTATCTTAGTATAGTGTCTTCCACAAGGGTAATGATCACTACATGAGGACTGTCACCACTTTTGAAGCCTCAATAAGGTCAAAGAGTTTGTCCTTGATGATTCAGGATAATGCCTGATGAAGACGCCCATAGATGAGAACAGGAATGAACCGGTTCTATATAGGCAATTCACATTATAGGGATAGTCTGAATGA